GATTTTCAATCTCTACACAAACGTATGATAACAACGTAGATAATTTTACAATGCATATCTCTTTTATCTCATTGTAACACAAATCTAACAAATCATTGGCTACTTTATTGCACGTAGGTTGGAAAATTTTATTGGATCATAACATTTTGATTGACTCAATAAAATTTGTATCTTTGATTCGTTAGAACAATGTGACTCTGCAATAATAATGATAAGAAGTGACTTTTTGAAATTTCTTCCTGGTTGAAGCGTCTACTATTGGTTTCAAACATAATCTAATAGGAAATTGACAATTTGCTTCTTCTTCTTTTGACTTTGATACATGTGATGGAGATACTTGTTTTTTCAAACCTCTATATCATACAACTCGGTCGTTTATATTATGCCATTCATTAATTTCTTGAATGAAGCGCGCATATTGAGATAAGCTACAACACTTTCATTTTTTTTTGGTAATTCAATCTGACATTGCAGTGTTTACATATTGCTGATTTTTTTACCGCAAACGATTCTTCAAGCGTGAAGGTTTTCATACATCACTAACTTTTCGTCCTTCCTCTTTAATCCAGATTGATTCCAATCACTTTACAGGTTGATTACGTCTACAATATTCATTGGTTGCATTCCTATAAGCTCTACAATGAAAGCCAATATTTTTAAAATCAATTTTTTGTCTGACAACAAATGATTTACATGTAGATTCAACCCAAATTTTTAATTTAATGTCAATTGAGATACAATTTCAAATTTTAGTTCTAACAAATATATATTATGATTTCAAATTCGAATCGAATCTTTAAACCCAATGTTATACTAATTCACAATTTCAATGGAAGCTTATAAAGAAAAATATTAGGGTGCCAATACTGCCGTGTGGCCATAATTGCAAAAAAAAGTCCCTAAACTTCTACCAAAAAAACTTATACCAAAAACAGTACACCTTCTCCATAACATATAGAAGGTGTACTGTTCTCCATGGAATCCATCCATAGGGTTAAAGTGAAACTTGTTGGGACTTAATAGGTTTGTTGCCTTTCCTTGGATCCATCAAATAATTTCTTGGGGTGGACTTTATAATCGCAAATCCATGATCGTGAACCAGATTCAGAACTTTAGATTAATTTTGTTCCATGTCCGATGTGATTGGATCAGTTGAGACTAATAGATGAATTGACTCGAGATTAAAGAAGCAAGTGGATGTCGTACCGGTACAAAAAGAACAGTACAAAAGATTCCAATTTCCGGAACAGATTATCCTCCATAATGGTGCCACCTAATTCATTGCCCAATTGCCATGTCATGATCGGTCAGAACTGCGATTGCGTCCATGCCCGTATAGAACTTCACTGCAGCAGCCAATGGGAAAGAGAAATACTTTCATCCGGCACCTGAGAGAGATCATGATGTACGTCTTTGATTTGTAAGCTACTTGATCATAGCCTCTCTCTCTAAACTTCAGCCTGCCTGCCAGAGGCCACATGTACCTCGCACTACAAATCTAGATTCTCAGGATGATGTATTATATGTTTTCTAACGATCCAACACAGCCTGGTATTGGTCATGGTGACATTGAACACGTATGTACGGTGATGTAGATTGAGCATTTACAGTACTTGTGGTGTTCATGTTCAGGTTCAGTGGCTCACAAACGAAACACTGAAGTAGTGGCCCGGGAGTAAGAGTGGACTTTTGACACTCACCAGCTCGATGGGAGTCAGTGACGGGAGTACCAGATATTCAAGGCGATCACGTGATTCCTCGCCAACTATAACCGTGTAAAGAAGGATTCAGGATCCCCTCTTCCACTTATCACGTGGGAGGTATTGACATTACTGGTCATGCACACCGTAGTCCATAACCAAAGCTTCAATTGAAGTCACTGCCAATTAGAGTTGGAGTCACGAATTCAAAGGGCATGCCTGTATAAACAGATTTATACGTATATTTAGAGTTATAGACGTAAATTTTAGAGATATAGACGGTGGAATAAGTGAGGAAATAAAACTGTTTAAAATTGGCCGTGGCTCGAGCCTAAAAGAGCTCGTCTCCTCGATTCGCAATCCAATCCCGGTTCACTCTAAGAAAACTGAAATTTCCGTCGCAGTGTCACGACTCGAGTGCTTGTGCGTGCTTGGCATGAGACTTCTAGCGCTGTGGAAGAGGAACGACATAGAGTACTCCAACCTCTGCTCCGACGAGGATCTAGCAATTTATAAGAATACTCTAGAGTTATAGAAGTATATTTTAAAGCTAAAGACTATGGGATAAATGAGGAAATAAAATTGTTTAAAATTGGTGGGAAATTTGCACTTTCAATTTACGAAGTGATTTTTTGGTTTTTCTTTGATTCCTTAGATAGACCCTTGGAGATTCTGCTCTAGTCTGTACTGGGTTTTAAGTTTTCATTTTTACTGCTCCTATTTCTAAGGGTGCTTTATTTTCATAGAAGTATATTTTCTGATATGTGAGATATACTTATTGTAATACGGGCATGCCTGGGGCATGGGGAATGCATTTTGATCTTGAAAGGGGTCATAGGCATACACCGAAAAATTTTGTTGTGACTTCAATCCTACTGCCAATGAATCGTTAGAGATATATCATTTTTAACCATAACATCGTAAATGTGAGCGAGTGCCCAATTTCTCGTAGCAGATTTTGCTATTTGCAGGGACTGCAAACTGTGGTAAGAGGAACATTTGACCTTCCCGTTGCGGATGTGAAATTTTGTTTTCGGGATGTCAGCCCATTGCTTTGCTCAGCGCTCAGTGAAAAGGGCTCGAATTTCGAGTTGCTAATGCATCTGCTGTACAGATAATCGCTCGTGCGACCAATCTAGAAATTTGGTCGAGATGAGAAATTTGGTCTTGCCTTGCCTTGCCTTACCTTACCTGCTTGCTTGCACCGAAGATGATTCGAGGTCTGACAGAAAGAGCTACGTATGCAGTTGTTATTTGTACATTGAATCTACAAGCAGAAGCAAGCTCAATTCACCACTTCCACGAATAAAAAGAAAGTACAAAATGAATGCCCTGAATGAAAGCATGACGCGATTCACATCCGTCAGCTGACGGATGTGCAGCTTAAGACGGATAAATTGTGGATCTATGAGCTTGTTTTAGTGAAACTGGAGAAAGCTTCGAGGAGAAAGAGATTAGCTTATCCACTGGACAAGCTAGATAGAAATGTGCAAACACGAACAAATGGATTACGACGCACGAGTTGGGACGGTATGCATGGCACATTAGAACTCAAGGTACTCTCACAGCCTGGTCCCAGAAATTTCTTCTTAGAAGGAAGGGCACACAGACCATATTAGTAACTCATCTCAAAAAACTTCTGAAGCCTGCACTAGAGGAATAGCCTGACATTCATCCTCAGCTGACTTTCTGGCATGCACGGTGAAGAAGCCATAACTATCACAGTGCATGTCACTGTGACAGTTTAGTCCCAGACTTCACAAGCAACGGAAAAAAAAAGTACTGCAGCACTAGTGCAATGCTGAGATTACCGGCCACCTTAACTGGTCTAGTCTGGCCATCGTGTGATTTACTTGGATTGAATTCTACTTATCCCACATAACAAGGGCATATCCTGGAACAAGAAGAAAACAAGAGGCTGAGTGTGGAATATATAGGTGTGCGAACTTCGATCAACACGATTGTTCACATCAAGATCATGTGGGCACGAAAGTATTTGTGCCCTTATTTAATCAAGCTAAATCGAAGCCTTGAGGCCGCTGCATGCACTATGGTTGAGCAGAATTTTACGCTAAAATATAAATCCAGAAGCTTGTGGGAACGTGATGTGCTGGCTACTTTACGATCTGAACGACCAGTAGCCATGGTAGTAATGGTAGACCTTACTTCTCACTAACGCCAGGAAAGTTGATATTCTGTCGCAATCAAAGAATGTCCGCTTCTCTTATTCCTTCCCTCCCTCCCCTCCGCTCCTCACTCTAAACCGCACTTCCCATCAGATATCCAGCGTGATATCTAAATCTGCTGAGAGACATCCAAACACGAATCTCTATCAAGACCAATGAATTCACCGCGGTCGTGGCACTTCAAGGGTGTGGAATGTTTCATTCTTCTCGGCGGTGTGAAAAAAAGTATCCATGCACCCATTCATTCAGCCAGCGAACCAGCTATCCCACTGTCTTGCAATTTATGATCTACTCATAATCACGTATGAATTGCTGATTAGGTTCTCTTGACTTCAGTGCATCTCCCCCCTGGAAACTGGCCCCAGGATCTTTCATGTGATTATAGATCTCAAGCGCGCATACACTTGAAAACACGTTGGCAACCTCGTTTAAGTTGAATGATGATACGGTTGCTGATCAAAAGGGATCGAGGAGGATCACTTTTTGTTTGATCAAAGCCGTCTCTATTTCTGCTTTCTGCTTGAGTTTTGTCCTCATTTTCACGGAGTAGGGTGAGTCAGGTTGAGATCAGGACGTCTCGTGTCCCTGGGGTATCGTTACGTATTTCACGTCGCTAGATGCATAGACCCAGGGTGGAAGTAGCCAACAGTTCATTATGACAGTCGTTGAGACTGGAGGTAGGTGCTTTGCACGCTGTGATAATTGGGTTAGAGTTCGATCGTAGCGGTTTTAGTAACAATAGGCGTTCGATGTGTGGCATGAGTTGAAATTTTTCCTCTGCTATATTTGACAGCACAAAATCCCAGTTTCAATGTTCCTTTAACCTTGCCCCACGATATCTCTCTGATGACGATGGTAGAGTTTAGAGGTTTGAAGTGGCAACGTTTTGTCGAGCTCGCGCTGGAACACATCAGCGGTCTTAGGGTCGTCGAGTAATGGGGCTTCAAAATCTGGCCTGCAAACAGCCTATTCACATCGTTGTCCAGCAAAACAACCACCCAATCAGCGATCGGTTTCCATCGGATCATTACGTGTGGTGCTGCTGATCTGCACCTTCTGTCCTTCTTACTTACTTCCGCTAGATTCCCGTGATCTATTCATTGTGTTCGTTCCCGACAATCTTCGGTGGAAACTCGTAGCAGGTACCAGCGATTCATACCCTGGTGTAGTCAGTAACAAGTAGGCAGGAAAACATGGTAAACAACACCAACTCAGTCCAAGTCCAGAGCTCAGTCTGCATTCCGTACGTCCCTGCTGCTTGGCCAAAGAACCAGTGTACAGTCTAACGCAACTCGTCGACGATAACCAGCTGTGGTTGAACAGCATCGACAGGAGGATGCATATGATGAATGAATGAACGATGAGTGAATGGTAAGTGAGTGAACATAGGTTGGCGGACTTGAAGTTAGCCGCCTGCATCTGAAACTCGATCAGGGTTGAAGGGGGATTCGAGATGATTAAGAAACAGCGGGGGCCAAGTAGATAACAATTAAGAAGAGACAGACATAGGTGCAGACGGTATGCACAAACTGCTAGCGAGTGGAGGATATGCCGTGTTTCCCAACCGAGGGTGGTAACGACAGAGCAGACATGTAAAAGTCACCCTAGTGTTTGTCACGTATCAGAGGGAGCTGAATCTTCGGATCGAGTGATGGTGCCTGAACCGGGAGCCTACCTACGCAGCGAGGGAGTGGAAATTCTTTCGAGGCACGGGTTGCGAGGGAGATGAGGCAATAGATACTTTGTCGAAAGTTTCTATACATGACGAAAATTTCGGCTCGTTGTGAATCTTTGTGCGTTTGCAAATGGCTTGCAATTCAGACACAAAATTTGCGCATGTGCAAACAAACGTAAGTTGCTAACGGGACGATAAGCCTTACCTCCCCCGCCTTCCACTGCTTTCCTTAGCCTTGCCTTGCCTTGCTTCTGAAGGCCAGGTCACTCTTGCAGAGCAGACCAGAAGTAGATATATGGATTGTTTCGTTCCCTCTGCTCTTGTCTTCGTACATGGCTTGTTCTGGGAGGGAGCAGCTGTTACTCCACTCCAATCCAAATCTCTCTAGTGCGCTGCCCTGCCCTGCCCTGCAGAGCAGCTAGGAGAGTCTTGATAAACTCGGTTTGGCAGTGTAGATCTGATTGTCGTCGAAATTGCATACTAGAGCTTGATTGATAGATTGACTAATTGATAGATTGGCTGACTTACTCATAGCCGGAAGAGAGGGAGGAGTAGAGGGGACCCTGAGGGCGGCAAGCATTTTGTTCTTCAGCTTTTGGTAGAAAACCGTTACTTGGGTCAAGATCGAAAGATGAATCTATTCAGATCTGCACGTGGCGAAATGGCTCCGTTTGGTCTAATACAATAGTCCTGGTCCCACCCTAGAGATCTAGAAGCAGATCTAGAATTAAGCGACACCCACTCTTCACTGAGGGCTGGTTGTGTTGCAGAGCTTGCTTCCGTTCTAGCTGCAAGTGCCCCTGGGTTTCGTGAGCGAAATGCACAGTGGATGTATGGACCTAGACAGGAAGAGTATGCGAGAGGTAGCGAGAGAAGATTTAACACCGAGTGCTGATGATGACTCCGGCCGCTGAAAGTTGAGGTATGATGGACGAGCTCTTTCGGGATGCTGCTGCCGCTGATGGTGGGAGCTCTCGCTCAGTCAACTCTGGGCGGACTGCTGGATTTGCTGAGCGTTGCATGCGACAGCACTCAAGGTTGTTGTTGCTTATTTGAAAGCTGAATCAAGTTCTAGCTCACCTAAATTCGTTCGTTCGTTCGTTCAGCAGAGCTCTGCTATGCTGTGCTTTGGTCCGTTGCGCTGAGTTCTCCACGATCACGTAAGCTGGAATAGTGGTGATGGTACCAGCAGCAGCAGACTGTGTGGAATGAGCATTTGTCATGCACATGTACCCGGAGCTTCCTGCACGTTAGCCGCTTGCCGTTGGAGGTTGAGCTTAGAAATCGCATCCAACTCGTTATCCAACTATCAAAATAAACTGATCTCGGCGCACGGTCGTGCTGTACTCGCCACATCAGCTTTTCTTCGTAAGCACTGGTCAGACGTCTGCATACAACAAACGATGTACACGTTAGGCCCAGTGGAAGTGGAGCTTAACGTCTCAGCTTACAGACTCTGGGCGGCTGTTAAAGACATGGAATCTTTACTCCCGAGAGTCATGCCAGTGCTGAGAGCATCCGTAGAGATCGAAGGTGATGGAGGAGCGGGCAGCATTCGGTATATCAAGTTCCCAGCTGGTAATATCTCGTACCCCTCCCCACTCGCGGTTTCCACAATCCGGTGGTATTCATCCATCGCATTCTGAAGTTTCTGCTTTCCACCCTTCTCTACTCGATACAGCAGCAAGCTCGAGGTAGCTCTGCCTTGCGTTCCTGTACAGAAACTTCTGTCACTTATGATAGCCGCGAGAGGCTGATGGAGCCTGAGAGACCAGAGCAGGACAGGGCAGAGTGTTGTCAAGTGCTAGCTCAGCGTTGTCACGCTCTTCGAGACTCGAAATTTTGGGGTACATCGAAGCACATGCCTCATGCGCATGTGCTTCGATCCTGCTGTTACTCTTAGGAGTGGAGGAGGAGCAGGAGGTGGGATTGGTACTTGGTAGCTTCTGAGTGAGGCATGATGGTTTACCTGATGTTGACTGTGCTGTGGTGTGCGCTGGTTGCACTGCAGATGTGTCAACCAAAATATTCTCAATAGAACGCATTGATGTAATGGACGATGATACATACACGGAAGTTCACACGTTGATCGGAGGAGAGATAGATAGGCAGTACAGCTTCTACCGATCAACTAAGACGTTCACGCCGGTTGATATTGGCTTGACGGTTGCCACATGGTTCGTAGAATATGAGCCACTTGATGATTCCAGTGCTCCGGAATACCCTAAACAAATGTTTCTGGCGTTCATCAAAGCAATCGAGGCCTATCTAGTTTCACACGACGACTATGCGTAATTGACAGTGCAGACTTTTGAATTCCCAGCACGAGTACGCAGTAGAGCAGGCAACAGCTCACATGAGTTCAGCTACATTGAAATCATTTCCAGCTTGTGCGAGCTCTCTATGTACTTGAACATTGAACAATTTTGACTCACATGATCCATAATAGGCTCCCGTATTCAGTTCCTCAATAGGCTCAATCATTCCTGCGGTTTCGATAAATTGACAGAGAGTGCTCAAATCAGCGGCCGGACGGACATATCTCTCTCTCTGTGTCTGTGTGTGAAACGATAGTACAAGAGGCGATCATGGCGAAGAGGGCACCGCTTTCCACGAAGGCTGATGCTGGACCGATCGTGCAGCGTTACCTCGGCACTTCCGAGTTGAGTAGTTGTAAAAGTCTAGATAGATTACTTTGAGCCAGGTTTGGTGATCGTCTGATCGTGATTAAGATTACTGACACACATGCCTATAGCGAGATTGACGTACTACCGAGCTGCAGCAGTGCCTTCAACCTGACACCGTGCGAAGCCACGAGAAGCTTCTATGATGGCTGAATGTGGCCTGTAATTTTTCTTTGAACGACCTCCAACACTTAAGCTGCACAGTCAAAACTTTGTGTAAATAGCTACCTTATCTATGGCAGTCTGGCCACAGCTGCAACCAACTTGTAGCGCAGATTCTATTTCCGAACTTGAACTTGCTTGATTGTCTAGACAATATAAAATAACGCCCACCATTCCGGCCTGTCTGTTGTCCTGGTCAATCGTGTTTGCAGCAGGACATTCAGTCCTCGCAGTCGTTGAGCATCGAATTTGAATAGGAACCCCCCTCTGTCTGTTTCCCCTTAAAAAGTCTTGCCGCTTGGTTCTCAACAGAAGAACATATGATCGACTCCTGGACTTCAGAAGCGTCTCGTTCTAGAACAACGGGTTCCTAGAGGCATGCATCACGTTCGAACCCATGACAGTACAGTACACAAACAGGGATTAAGGTCAACAAGAAGTTCCAACATACACGAGTTGTATAAACGGGTGCTGGCATCGAAGACGGCCAGCCCACTGGCCTTGACGATCCCTGAGTTTCAAATATGTCGGTTTCTGTACGGGGAAGCCGTCACTGTAAATTTGGCAACAGCGTAGCGTCGCACGCCGCTATCGTGATGTAATGCTTCGAGGCATCTGCAAGCCCTGTCCTGCCTCAAAAGAAGAACAACAAGAAGCAAAAACTAATTTCGGTGCCAAGAAGCTCTTATACATGCTCAAAACAAAGTCTGTTTCGGTGGACATTCGAACCTGAAACCGAAGATCAGGTACAGCCGATTGCAAGTAAACTATGCATTGACTCTTTTGAAGTTCACATGGTCCCGGAGGTCGGGAGTCTCAGAGCAGATGATCATCGGGACCCACAAGGGCCAGAGACAACCGGACAGTGCACAAAAACTTCTCATTATTATATTCGCGGTAATGCAGAACGCTGTCAAACCCGACAGCCTGAAAGGGGTTTATTGACATGCCGAGGATATGATCGTCTTCATTTTAATTGTTCCGATGTACAGGCCAACATGTTTCACGAAGTGAGTTTACGGTAACCTAGACTTGCTCATGCAAAAGACGTTGAACTACAATAACAAGAACACGACCCCGGTGACCCGAGCCGTTTAAAAAGTATGCCAGAAGATTTGGTACCTGTCAAGTACTAAATCCAATAGGAATCCTGAATTGTAGTGATGGACTTTCATGTCACCCCTGTGACAGAGTCGGGACCGTACGAGGCCTTCCTTCTTTCCTAAAATTTGTTGGCAAGTGCATGTACTGTTTCGCTGCTCATAACATCGATCTGGACAATGCTTCTATTCGGCATGCCAGTCATCGAAGAGGATTAATCTCAGCCGGTTTGGCAGGAAGTTTTCTTCTGCTGGTCCTACATGCACACTAAAGAGTCGGTCAACATCCAGAATATCGCCGACTCGCAAGTGGCCATTTGCCTCGAATCTCAGACGGCATATCCTTCTGTACATTGTGAGCACTGAGGATCCATCACATTGTAAGCTATGAAAAATGGGAGTAAACTGATTCAGGCTCAGGTTCATCAGACAACGATAAATGCTATGTGGATCCCACCGAGATCAGTTCCCCGGCCCTCCCTCCGCTCGGTGCTGCCGTTAGAACTACAGTTTGAACACGGTTTGTTGCCTTCAAAGCCCCACTCAAAACGACCATGTCCCTCACTCACGTTTAGGATCTCTTGAAATGTCACTACGCTGATATCGTATCGCCAGTCATCCTTCCATCAACCAACTATATCATGTTGTTGCACTCAGAATTAGTGTGCCGTATATTTGAATCATGAAACTGCTGCCAACAGTTCCAGCTCCATTTAATTCCTACTCTGCTTGTGACGCCGTTGTCAGTCAGTCATGTCAGGCCCAAGACCTTTATGTTACCCCACGGCAACTGGACCCGCGTACAAGAACGGAGTGCTCTGAGTTTCATCCACTGCACCGGTTGCCAGATTAAGCCTGGAGTCTGCCTTCATGCAGCAAATCTGACTTGAGTTGTCACCTTCTCTTTTGATCGCGGTCCCCAAGCCTCAAGACTTGATTACATTACTCAAGTTCCTAGCATGGTCCTCTTACAGAATGCCTGCACAACAACGGCCAGTAGTGTTTGAATCTGTAAGCTTGGTGTGTCACGTGACTTGGGCACGGCTGCTTCCAAGCAGGCAGGGGATGTAATGCCTGTAACAGCCAATATTTCCAGGGTGAAATATGCTCTAAAGCATCTGAAGATCAATCTGTAAGGTATCTCAATGTAGAAAGTTCTCGCAGTCAAGGTCCATGAAAGAGTTTCCAAAGTTCGTGAAAATTGCAGGATTTATCTGAAAGGCCTGAGCTCAACTGCAATGTTCAAAGTAAATGATGTTCTCACGAAAAATTGACAGGACTGGTTTTAACTCTTCTCAGTGTACAGAGCTCTCGGATTAATGACAACAGTATTAGTAGAGCATACTACATTCTCAAACTGAAGAGTACACCTGAAAGCACGTGGACCGGAGAAACAGGGTATATCTGAGTTGGTAGGAGGGCTAGCTAAGATCCCTTAGGTTAGAGCTCGTTGTGATATCTTGTGTCTGGCACATGGGGTTGTCTAGTATATATATACTTCGTTAGCTGAATGGCCGTTCAACTGTCAACACTATCTTCACTGTAGACTACAGAGCGGACTCCTCTGACTGTCACAATCTCAAATTTTGGCCGACAGTCTATATTAGAAGTGATTTGTAGGAGGTTTATGTGCTACCTCTTCAAAGGGTTTTACTCTCCGGATGACTTTCCGTCTTTAGTATTGGAGCCTGATAGGCTCGAAAATTGGGTATAGATCGTACAAATCGGCAGCAGAGAGCCTCTACAGTCACAGGAAAAGCAAAAGTTTTGATAGCTTTCCTTCCGCTGGAGAGTGCTCTTTGATAGCTCTCGATTTCTCGTTACTAAACGTGTGCACCATTCCATGGAAACTGAGAAGGAGCCTCGTGCTTGCAATTCTGATCATCATTATAATAAATTTGTACCTTGTACTCACACTGTACTCTCACATGACAGTTTCCTGTGTTGACTGTTAGCATTTCCTTTTTGTGAGTCCCAACTGTACTAGGGCATCGCAGTCAGTTAGAAGAAAGATAACTTGACCAGCTTCTGAATTTGTGGTAAGTAGACTTTCTACTTGAGATAAATGGTCATGGAAATCGCCAAGATTCTGGCAACGCGGAGAGTTTCTTGTCGTCAGATAGAAATTTATGCCAGTACTATTCGAAAGCTGTACAACTTACATTCTAACCTTCATTCGTCACGTTACTGCTAAAATAGCTGAGAGTTGAATATGAAATCATCTTCTCAATTTCTGAAGAACGATTCTTCTTGGCACACATTAGAAGATTCATTACGATATTTCTTTTCCAATTTCGAATGGAGCCTAGGGAATTTAGTTGTTTCTCAACTCTGCTGAGTCCTAGAGAAGAAATTTTTACATTATCGCTAATGTATAATAGCGAGCCTTATATTTTAGGCTCGCTATTTCTTTTCAGAACAAACATCATACAAAAGTTCCAAAACTGATACAAATGCTTCAAGTGCATTTATAATCAGCAGCTTGTAAAGGGTGAATAAGTTTATTTATAACATTTTATGTATTAAGATTTTTTATTTTTTTTATTTTTCAGTGAAAATTTGCAAGGCTTTATATGTAATTTATTTGTCTCGATTATGTTCCATAATTATAATATGCAGCCAGCAAATGGTCTCAGACTTAGAATGCGAATTCACTGTGATGCTTCTGGACCTAAAATGCTCAGTTCACCCTCTCAAGAAATGGAGACAGCACTTAGGCCATATGAACGTCTCATGCATGCGACATTGGACCTCACAATGAGAGAACATATTCATAGTCATTTCACAACAACCATCAGAGTATTGAGAGTTACTAAAGTGACTCCGAAAGAAAAAATATGCTCCCCTGCATGGATGCCACAACATCTCTCTGAATCATGCAGGAATGCAACTTGAAATCTATGCGAAGAAAGCAATAATAGATCGAGTGCATAACAAGGAGAGGGCAACCAAAATAGAAGACGAGGCCAGCCCATCAAAGTGAAAAAAGTATAGTATAGTCAATTAAGCCACAGTGGTGGCTGAAAATGGATGATTAAATTTGGAATCCTCCCTCCCTCCGTCTCTCGATCGATCGATAACAACACATAACAAACTCAGATCGAGATTATACTTTTCTTTTACTAGCTGTCATGTTCTATCTATCGTCACCCGTATAGCCTGAATACAAAGTTCAGCTACATGATGATAGATGCACATGTATATTCAAGCTGCTAAAGACAATGACATACCTTCAAGAAAAATTCTCGGAGCCATCAACTTTGTTGTGCCACCAAATTTGCACTCATCAACGAAGGGAATCTTAGACTAGAGTTCTCGTAATTTTGGAGCTAGTCGAACCGAAATGCAGATGATTGTACAACACGAGCAGCAGCAACACTTGTCTAAAAAAGTGGGTCCGGAGTGACAAGCTAGCGAGCATGGGATCAACACTTGTCAATAAAAGCGCGCACACATTTACAAGCTAACTAACAAACATTCGAGAGGTAGATGTAGGATAAGATACAGCAGATTGATCATCATTCTAGATGGAATGATGATCAGATGAGAAGAATTTGCAGTCCTTTTTCACCTTTCTCCATCTCTTCCTCCAGCTGCTGCTGCTTGTTCCCTCCTTAAAGTGCGAGCTTTCTTCACAAGACAAGAAATATTTGTCAACCACAAACTTTTGCACAATTATTGTTCTTCCATTGTTTAAGGACGTAGAGATAAATGAGTGGTCAAAAATTTGATTTAGCTCCCACGAAAAGAGGAACATTTCAGAGACAAGATGTTGCAAACTTCGGTCCAAGTTCAACTTTTTAGCCCTCGCATGTGAATCGGTCCAACTGCATTTTACAGCTTTTAAAATGTGACTACTTTCCCGCATCAAAATGCATCAAATAGTACCCGACATACATCGCCTAGCAACACTGGTTCCACATATTAACAATAATATGTGGATAAGATTAAAGGCATTTTCCAAGCATGGACCAATGGTGGGGTATCGTTGTGTGGGATTGGGAGAACATTCACTATACGAGAAAGAAAGAGAAATTCGTTGGGCTTGATGCTTGTTAAAGCTTAAGCATGCTCTAGAG